ATTTAAGTTAGCAATTTCGGAAGGATGTCTTCCTTGTTTTTATCTTAAAAAATTTATATAAACATCAATAGAGAGAATGAGCTAAACCTTATCTTTAATAAACTTGGCGTCAAGTATATGAATCATGTTTTTTTAAATAAATCCTTAAAGTGCCTCCTGGGTAGACCTTCATTACATTTTCTCTCATTCTATATTTGGGGTAGACATTACATTTTCTCTCATTCTTTTTTTGATGTACATCTTCGTAATGTTCTCCATGATCTTTTAACTTGATAGATATATTTTTGTCACATTCATCTATGTCATTTGATACGTTTTGTGATAGGTATTTGAGGATGCTTACAAGTCACCACTCAGCATAATTACCCTTGATGATATTGAAAGGTAAATACTATTGACTCTAGATGAATAATCTATTGAAAGACTTGGGAAAGCTCACACTAATAATCTAATTCACATAACCACAATTGTATGACACTCAAAGTATCATGTCCAGGAGTTTGAAAGAACTCTTTTCCCGGGTTGTTCCATTGTTGCAAAAATAAATATATGTTCAACAACCACAATCTTGGATGTCCAAGTACTGTTAAAATTTTATTATTATCCGATTTTCCAAATTGAATTCTTTTTTTCGTTTATACAATTGGTCTTCCAGTGGTTTTTTTGTGAGCTTTGTGTGGGTAGTCTACTTATCTCTTTAACTTTTTTTAATATTTGACTTCCCACTTATTTAGTGCACCACTTTATTAAGCATCCATATATTATTAGAAGACGTTAGAAGAATGCTATTCTGTTGGTTGAGTGCTACATGATATAGAAATTTGTTTTGCTCTTAAGAAGTGTTGTTAATTTTTATTGCAACCTGGCTTGAAGAAGGTAAAAATTTATATTAATTAGTATTCTAAGGTAAAATTAGGTTGCAAAGGTCAAATTTTCTTTTTTCAAATCATGAACAACCTTTTGGAATTCACAAATAATCTTTTTGCCTAATATTTGGCAAACACTCTACCATATGTACATTCTGAATGTTGGACCTGGCTTGAAGAAGGCCTTTTCGCCTGCCGCTCAAAAAATTTTCGATGCAAAAACTCTTGCAAAGACACATGTAAAGGATATGAAGTGCACTTTAATATTTGCTTTCTTTTCCGTTTATTCCTTATTGCAGCTTCAACTGGTTTGTTCTAGCTATCTATTTACAGGTTTTGGTTGCTAACTCTTCAAGGAAACTACTTCAAGTCATAGACCAAGGTTGAATTCTCTCTTATATTTTCCTTTAAAGTGTTCTAAAAGTAGAATCATTAGGGGGCGTTCTCTTTGTATTTCAGTTTTGTGTTTTGAGTTTTGAATTCATTTTGAGTTTTGTGTTTTGAGTGTTTGTTTTGAAACTGTTGAAAATGCGTTCTTTTTGTTAGTTTCTCAAACAAAAAAAAATGAATTTTTTTTTTTAAATTTTGAGAATCACCACACCACCTCCTCAAATAAAAAAAATAATAATAAATAATAAAAAAAAAGGTGTTTCCCGCGTTTTCAATTTTTTCAAGTTTTACACTAAAAACGCCCAAAACGACAAAAAAGTCGTTTTATGTTTTCTTCACAAATTTTTTTTTTTTCATTTTCGAAAATTCGTTTTCGAAAACGGGAAAGAGAACACGTTTTCACCGTTTTGAAAAATCGAAAACAGAAAACAGCTCGAAAACGGTAAAGAGAACAGGCCTTAATCTTTGGTTGTTTTCTCCCCAGTTCACTAGCCTGCTTTTATAGTGGGTAATACAAACAACCAATAGAAGAGGCAAAAATGACAATAGAAGAACTATCCACTTTGTCTCAGCATACTTCTGTAAATTCCATCCTGGCTCATTCATCTTAACTTGTAGATATTGCATCGGATCCTTTTACCACTTCATTGCTATCTATTTTCATGTTTCAATGCATGCTTTATTATTTCACGAGTAAAATATTTCTTTCTCCTGCAAAGCTACTATTTTTATGCATGCCAAATATTTCTATCATCATGTACGACCATGTTGTAGACACGCGTGACGAGGCTTAAATTCTAATTTTTCGTGTTTTCTTTATGCAGTAGTATCAACTTTTGGGAGGGAAGGACTGTGTTCTTTCATTCTCTACATTTATTTATTTATTTTTATTTTTATTTTTGAGAGGGGAAAACAGGTTGGTGGTTTGGGTCATAAATTTATTTGTGAGATATAGTTAAGTACGATAACTGCTTTGTCTAAGGTATATCTATCACGTTTCCACTTTACATAGCTTGTTAGTATTCTTTCTATTGTGCAAGTTAGCAATTCTTGTTATTTTGTTGACTACTTGAATGATGATACATCTGCTAAGATTTCTTTATATCTAAACTGGATGTAAAGTAATTCTATCATAAATTTAATCATGGATGATTCACGACACAGAAACTTTCATCTATAAAAGAAAACACGTTGTCATAAAAAAATAGACATTTCCAAAACTATCTCATGGAACGAGACACAGTCATCTGAACAACACTGGTGAAGATCTGATGGGAAAGTCCTTTCAACAGATTTTAAGGTGGACTTCTATAGCATCTTGCGATAATGCACTGAACCAAACGATCAGACTTTATCAAACACTTCGAATCTTCAACCAGTTTTGGAAAAACTACAATTTTGATGCTAATAAAAATACAGTAAATACAAAATTCGTGCAACGCACGTGACGACGACTAGTGATTAATAAAAAAATGGAATACTGAGTGCCATTATGATGAATGAGCCAATCAAATGTGCTTATCAAGAGTTAAGCCTACTTTCTTCTGTATTTCTTTTTTGTTCAGTCTACATATAATTTTTACGTTTGAAAGTATTTAAATTTCCTTCTAGTTTTCTTTTTGTGCAAAAGAGAATTAATGTCTGCCTGATTATATATATCTTTCCCCTGGCACGCATGAATTTGTATTGAAAATTCTGTAACTGAACTCCCATTCTACAACTGCACTGGTTGAATAATTTATGATCATGAATTTCCCTTGAGTTAATTTTGAATGATGTCATCCAAGTTCCAGCCATCATGTTCCGATTTTTCTCATTAATATTTTATCCGCACGATGCCAGAGAATCTCATGCTAAAAACATAGAATTGTTAATGAACCTCCTTAATTTTCTTCCTTTCTTGGAATCACAGAGTGAAGTGTGTCATGGAGCACTTAGACGGTCGACTTGAATTTCCAGGCTTTTGCATAGGTCTGTTCCTAAATCGCCTTACTTGGCTGCAGTAGTATACTTCCAGTTTCAAACAAAAGCTCAAAAACATTTAATATTGCAGGCATTGGGAATTCACCTGGTATCATGGACATGAAAGCTTATCTTCTTCAGAAATTCTGAGCCAAATAGGGAGAAGCATTTTAAATCCAGCTTATAGAGAAAATCGGATAAATGGTTGTAGTGGATCATTTTGGCTGTTTAGTTTGTTTATGTTATACATTCTATTGTACATCACCAAAGAGGCAGGACCCCTGTATCCTCACACATGGTTTGGATCACTTGAACTTTGCATTAGACTTTCTTCTACATTTAAAATCCACTGTAGGCATGATCCAAGAGCATACTAAATACGGAATTTCTAATGCAAGGGACATGGCGAAATCAAGATTTTTAATCTTTTAGGAAACATCAGTTATTTATTTATTTATTTTATTTATTTATTTATTATTTTTTTTGGGTGACGGGGGAACCCCCAGCCGTTACCCTTCGGGTGCGCATTGGGTAAATCCTCGGGCCGACGCAATAGCCTGCAAACTACGCCAGTCAGGTAAATCGCACTAGGCAAGCCCTGTGCGACAGGCTCAACCGAGAAAGTGTTGGTAGGGGGAATCGAACTCGTGACCAAAGGTCTCCGCTTTCACCTATTCCAACAACTCGGCCACCCCATGAGGGGTAACATCAGTTATTTAATCATTTACTAGGTAGTCATGGTGTTCAGTTTACATCCATGATGCCTGCTCAATGGTCCAACTTCTATTGGCTGTATGTGCAGGTGGATGCTGCTATGGAACAAGGAGTCGAGGCTGTGAGAACGCTTATACTAGAAGGATTTAGCAGTAGAATTAGTAGATTTATATATGTATATAAATCTTGGGCAGAAGTACAAGTACAACAAAGTTAGAATTTAGGCTTCAGTTCTTTATTATTTGATGAAATGAGTATTTTTATCTTTTGGTAATTTTATATATGCATATATTTCTTTGACAAATTGGCGGGCTCGATATTAGCCATATGTAAAGCCCCAAAAAGCCGTCTTGCATGTAAAATGAAATGACTTTCTTTTTGTGAATAAGTTGAATTGACTTGTATCATATATTTGATAATAATTCTAATCAATCCTAATTTAAATAAACATGTTAATTTATAAAGGTGGTTAAAATAAGTTACATCACAAAAGGCTATTATTTCAAATAAAATTTCAAATTGGTCATTAAAGTATTGATAACGTTAAATTATGTTACATATTTGACAATTCTTTTAGTGACATTGACTCCATATCAATGTAGGCACATTAAACATTAACTTCGACTATCGAGCATTGTATCAATAGTGTGAATTTACAGATCTTCCAAATAGACTATCGAGTATTGTATCAATAGTGTGAATTTACAGATCTTCCAAATAAAATCAATTCTTAATAGAAAAACTCATGATTAGCCAAAATAATAATGATAATAACAAAATTGTTCTTTCAATCCTAATTGTATTCTAACCCTCTTTTTAATAATTAACAAATAATAAAAAGGTTGCAAAGATCAACTACAAGGAATTGATTTAACGGCTAATATGCAGAGTGTTAATCATGTTAACATCGTTAAAGTAATAAATTATTTATGTAGCATTATTTAATGAGTCAAAAAAAATACATTATGTAGTTTTTCGGTCATTATACAAACCAAAGTCCTAACATTATTTATTTTAAGTGAGACCCACTTTAAATAGGAACGTTGGAATCATCATCTTATTTTCCTCTCCGCCCTTTTACCATATCTTTATTAGACCGTTGGAAACTCAAATCTTTTAAAGATACAACTTCTTTCAAGAAATTTTACATTCAATCAATACTGCCAAAGCTTCAAAAATCCTCCATCAATGGCAGAGATTAATGGCTTTCTTCTTCAACGAAACCATATTCTACAATACACCGTTCTTGATTCCAAATCACTGCTTCTCTCCCAATTTTCTGATTCTGACCAACCACAGCTACTCCAACTAACAACTGACAGCTTCGTTATGGAGAGAGGTCCCAGATATAAAGAATACTCGGATCTCAGAGAAAAAAGGTTAAGAAAAAGGAGCGTGATCGAGCCGAAAATTCCGAGAAAAGAAGAACATGTACTGACACCGGCAAAGAAGCAGGTTAAATTCCCAGGGAAGTCGAATTTCACCACACCACCAAAAAGGACTAAAGGGTCTTCAATTTTGACTCAATCTGTGCCCGATTTTTCATCTGCCTTGAGGAAGGAGAATCGGAAACCGCCATCAATGCTGACACCGGTGGCGGAGAAGTCCTTGACACCACCAGCAGGGGCAAAGAGTGGGGGGCTTTATGGGAAATTGGGAGGAGGGAGTAAGTCGGCGAATTCCGGTGAGAAGAGGAGTGGTGGAGTTATGACCAGGAAGAGCCATGCTAGTATTGGGGAATTGAAAGGATTGGGGACCGCTGCTAATAGTGCTACCAATGAAGGAAACAGAGGAGGGAGAATTGGTAGGACTCTTTTTGGGCAAAGACAGTTCTGAGATTGCAAAATTAGGATTTTCTTAATGGGAGAACTACTGATATTTCTCTCAAGATCGACTTTATTTGGTTTAATCTCGAGCATTGGATTCTTAATATTTTTTATTCATTACTTCTGTTATAGGTATTTTCATTTGTAAAGAGTGGAATATGTTTTTGAATAAAAAATTGAATTGATGAATCTTTTTTCTTCTACAGCCACCTCTGAGATTTTGGCATTTTAGATTACCTGTGGTAATTTCTTGTTTTTGCAGCAACAAACTAAACTTCTTCATAGTAAATTCGAGATCAACTACATGAATCATTGCTAAATTTACTGAGACATCTAAGCAACTAAACAGTTTCCCATTTGTCAAGGAAAAGAAAATAAACAATTAGAAAAGAATGGGAACTTGAGACTATCTGTTAACACCAGAAACTATTAAATACACAGCTTGTAGAAAGAACACCATCTTCCTTTATCTACAGAGGAATGGTAGTAGCATGCTGCATAGTTGTAGGGAATTTGAGAAAATTAGTGAAAGCCCTGTGCAATCGATGGGGAATTCGGCCTGCAGTTCCAAAGTTCTACAACAATCTCATCAACCAAAATTTGGAACAGGTGCATGGCAATTTGAATGCCTAATTCGAATTTTTCGATATCAAAATCTGTCCATTGGCCTAACGAATCACTCATCTCCTTCTCTATCAACTCATCATATATCAAACCAGATGACTCTCCCCACCTTCTGACCTCCTCCACAATGTCAAAAATCAACATCTCCGTGTTCACAAAAAATGGAAGTTTCGTCAAGACTTTGAACCCAGATTTAGCATATTGACCGAATCTTGAGTCCAAATACTCTATGACAGAATCAAAAGTAAATCTTCTCAGTTGATTCACCTCTTTGCCATCCTTAATGTTAAGAAAGCAATCAAGATTCATCTGGAGAACACTTGCTAGTGTTTCAAGTTGGTAGAGGAATAAGTTTTTAATTGAAAAACCTTGCCTTGGAATTGAGGCGGGGGAAGTTGCATTTCCAAACACCAACTTAACATTCAAAAGAACCTTTTTGGCATAGTCGAGCATGCTTCCACTTAAACCACAATTAGCGAGTTCCATACAGCATAAAACTTCCGAAATATGTTCGTGGACATCAATAATGTACTCTCTACCACTTTTTGCTATCTTTTCAGAGGTTGCAGAATCTAAAAGGTCTGTGCCACGGCCAAGAGACGGTGGATCATCATAGGGGCAATCCAAAGTTTCAGTAAGCATTTTATATCCTGAAATAGTAGAGCCAATATTAGAAAACAAGGATAGTAACAGTAATTATAAGTTCAAATAAGGGGACCTTTTGTCATCACGAGCAACAAAATCATAACAGAGATGCTTACTGGAGCTATCATCCATACTGCTGGAGAGACCACTCTCACTGGAATAAGAAGCCTCAAGAACAGATCCTGGGCTAAGGTGTTCACTATCAGGCAGACAGTCAACTAACAACTCGGCTGTCTTTGCTTTGACCTAAGGAGAAGTATCAAATTCATTACTTAGGATTCAAATGTTAGCCATCATGTCATATAAAATTAACATGGCACTAAAAATTGATACTGCAGAATAAGAGCAAAAATGACTAAATGGGCAAAGCGTAATTGGAAGATAGAAGCCACTTTTTAAAATTTGAGTATCTCAATGAACCAAATGCACATTAGACATGACAGAAATGCTCCAAATCGACTTGTAATGAAAATTATAAGCTCGTGTTATTTACTTTTTCATAGTGATAATTTTCAGAGTAGAGACAAGGCTTGCCATGTCAATCTGTGAAAAATGACTGAACTGTTCAGCAGATTTTCAATAACAGTAAACGACCTCAGACTGATAAAGATGGAATTGTCTTTCATATGCTTCTGTTCAGGCTAGTGAGAGTTTGTCCTTATTTCAATCCAACAAGTTTGAATCTCATTGAATAGACATTCAAATATTCTTATTGCCCGCTAAGTTGATTTGTCAGCAAATAAAATGACATTAGCTGACCTGGGAATTGGCTAATATTTTTGAGTAGGACATATCACCACAATCACGCAAATCTCTTTTCCCGTTAGATGTAGCAGCTGAGTCATCATTTTGAAATGCTCTCTCTGAAGTTAAGGCAGAAATTAACTCCAGAAGAATCATAGCTGTGCTTTTTCGGGGTGCATTCCCACCTATTCCCATCTCATCCTCCATCTGGAGATTTAATTCCTGCAATTTTTGTTCCAGAAGTGCACCTAATGCGTCTCCACTCAAAGGAAATGGTTTTTTATACCTTGTATTTTCATCACTTTCATTTAATGAAAATTTTTGTAAAGTGATCTCATGACTTGAATCATTTTGAATCCCTCTTTTCACAAAACCAGCACGAATTCCAATACTCTGTTTCACAGGAGAGTTAACTGTGAATAAAACATCACTATCCACCTTTCTAACACCAACTGTTCTTCTATCTTGATGAAGGTTCAATCTGTTTTTGCTTTGGCGGTTAATGGATTGAACATTACATTCCATCTCTTTTCTACTCATTACGTGAGCACCGGTATAAGTTTGTTTGTCGAAACAACTTGTAAAAACGGGACTTGCACTTTCTCTTGCATTATTAATCGGCCTTCTCTTTCGGACTGGTAAAATGGAATCATTCTTCCCGTAACCAGCTCTCCTCTCCATTTCAAATTTGCCATTATCAGCTCCAGTGGAGAGCCCCGGTTTCCTATGCCTACTTAAGCTTCGATGATTAAAAACACAATCCTTTGTGTCATCTACGTCAATTGATGCTGACGCTTTGTTGCTCAACAGACCATTGAACTTTGACCTTGGAGGAACTCTATTTCTCACCTGTGATATCTGATTTTGGCTCTGAGTCCTGGAACTAAAATCATCAGAGAGAGGCATGTCCTTCTGAGGCTTGCACTGTTGGCTTCCCAAATTCCACCTTGTTTCTCCACTCAAAGGATTTCTATTTGATGAAAATGTACTACGAGGTTGAAATTTTTTTGCGGCTGAACCTGCAGTTACTGGGCATTCCTCCAGAACCTCCTCAAATGTTGGCATTCCTTGGCTGCTCCTTTCTGACCTTTGGCAAGAGGCTTCAACATGATGTGAGAACCCCGAAGTAAAAACCATCGTCCGTTCGTCTACACTCAAATCAGAATCCAACTTATCTAGCAAATGCCCACAAGTTCTGCAAGAAGATTGCCCCTTTGGCTGCTGAGTAACAAGGTATTTGGAATCTTCCACTTGGCTTGGTAAAATATCTGTTGTTATCCCCGAAAAAGTTTCTCCATTAGAAGAATTGCGCAAGGTATTTGAATATGCGAGGGCACGTTTTGACCTAGTCCTTGCCAAACCAGGTTCCAGAATTCTAGTTGCAGCACCAATTATTCTAGATGCATTTTTCCCTGAAAGAGTTCTGGGACTTTTCACTGGAGAAGTAAGTTTTGGAGGATGCTTCCTTGATCTTGATAAAACGTTCGTAAACTGAAATACCTCTGCCCCCATTCTAGCTACTGGCTGCCTCTCACATAACCCGGTCTTCTGAAGCTTTTGGGGCCTCAATTCATTTTTATTCCCTCCTTTTCCCATATTCCCTTCATCACCCTTGTACCCACGACACTTATCCTCAATTTTGTCTGCTCTATCATTCCCATTTGCAGAAACCGGTGCTTTCTTCGTCTTCTCTCTCTGTAATGCCGGTATGGACTCCAGACCCATAAGCCTGGCAACCAGACCTGGAGCTCGCATTTCACGCTTTTGCTCAAGATCAACATTACTAACCCCACTTGTTTTCCTTGAGCTAGGAAATCCCCCACTATTCTTATCAGCAATCTAGATCATTCACGCAAAATCAAGACACATCCCAAAGCTTAAAACTCTTTATAAATTTATTAAACAGAAGACAAAAATTTAGGATGCAGAAATAAAACAAAGCATGATGCATACCAATCGAAGCTTTGGCTGATTCTCATCTCCACCAAATTTCTTTGAAGCTTGTTTTAAGCGAACTGAGAAATATGCAACATAAAGACCAGATCTTTAATATGATTTGCAACATAATGCCAATATGGTTTGCCAAATTTCTAAAATGAAAAACAGAGCAATGGCAAAAAAAGAAAAACCTGGTTGAAGCAATATCTTGGAAAAGAGCTTCTTTTTTGCAAATCTACCGTTCCAATCAAATAGCTGAAAGAAAATACCCACACATCCTCCTAGTTTTTGAGGCTTTTTCTCTACAATAGCCAAAGAAGACGCTGTTTTTTCCAATCTGTCGTTCATTTCTGTCAATGTTTTCACAAAACCGCTCTCGAATTTATCTCTTCCCCACAGAACCAAGCATTTTTGTTCAAAGGCAACAAAATAACCCAGAAAACCCTTATAACCAAATGCTCAATAGAAGTCCTATAAAAAAAATTCTCTTTTTAACAGCCACGTCTTTTTTCTCTCTCGCAAGAAACGGAGTCGAAAGGCGTTGGAAAATTTACCCAAAGGGAACAAGGCTGAGGCCATGCGCAAGCAACAATGACAAGAAAAGCCAGTTAGAAGTAGGAAAATGGCAAAATAATCTGTAATAAAAATACTGTTATTCAGCTCAGGTCTCGCAGTGAGATACTATTCAAACATACGAGTCTGAAAACTGACGGCAGATGCACAGAGAGCGAAAAAGAAGTAAAGAAAGATTGGATTTTGTTTTTGGAGTGATTATCAAATCAATGTCTATAATTATCTAAATACACTAGAAATGAAGATTCTCGGTAATATTTCGAGTAAATTTAACCAATAATCACTGAACTTTACACTTGATTACTACTTGCTCACTCATCTTTCACAGATTACTGAATACTCACTCATCTTTTCATATAATTACTCATTCACCACTCGTCTCTTCAAATAATTGGGCGACTTTTACGGCAAATTTTCGGCAACTTCCGACCACAAAGAATGTCGAATTTTGATACCGTTGGAAAGCCCACGATATCCTCTTCAATTACCACCTAAAATCTCATTATAATTCCAAGGGATTCGATCGAAAAATTGCCTTAAAAGTTGCCCAAAAATTTTGAAAATCTGCCCAGATTTTCAGATTTTTTGGACGACTTTTAAGGCAATTTTTTGGCAACTTTCGACCATCAAAACTATCGAATTTTGATACCATTGGAAAGCCCACAATGTCCTCTTCAAT